TGGTAAATGAAAATAAAATCGTCTGTAAAAGACAACAACTGGTTATTATCTGATTATTTACTCTTCGTGTTTATGTTTTTTAATCCCTAAAAACACACTTATATACATATCTATGAAATGCTATTGTTGAGTATTATCAAAGAGGCCCAGAGTAAAAAAGACATTATCATCCATCGGTTGCCTGAAAGCAAAATTATAATTGCAGGATAATAAAGTCTGACTGCTTGCTTCTTTTGAGAAGGATGTCCTTGAGGTTTCGTGCCAGAGAGCCTGCATGTCATTTTCGGCTGAAAGTAAGCCAAAAATAATGCCCCCCCAGCTCCAAACTGTCTGACGCAAAAAATACTGAACTTCACTGATGTTTAACAGTCCTCAGCAGTTTTTAATTTCTTTCTAAAATTAATTTCCCTAAAGTGGATGGCATTTCTTTACATTTATTAAAGATGTCCGGATAACAGGCATGTTGTGATGCACTATACTTGTGGGGACTTTCCATTGCATCTATTAATGTTGCATTCATTGCTATAGCCTAACCCTATCCTTTGCCTTAACCCTAACCATTATAAACACATTTCAAGCCTTTGTGCTAAACCTTACCCTCACCCGAGGATGAGAACTTCTCCAGCCGTTGGTACCCAGAATTACCTATTAGTCCCCAAAATATTGCATATAAGTCAGTAGTATGGCAAACCTTTCTCAGACAGAGGTCAGACACTTTCTGAGGGCTACAAGAAATAAAAACCAAGGTCAGATCTGCTATTAGGGGATAATTCCCATATGTGTTGAGCCTAACAAGTTTATTGTATCAAAGACTTTCTGCAAACTAGTTAAAAATAAAATACATTAAATAACACAACTATAGGTAGAAACTTCATGAAGGTTAGAGTGCTTATTAAAATACACCAATTTCCAAGTTTTAACTGGCAGAAAACCTTTTTATTTTTGAAACACATCCAGTCTGGATGTCCTTCAGTTGAGTCATCACATTTCTCTCAAAATGTAATGAAAAAAAACCAAAGACTTGCCCCAGAAATTTCAGTTTTTTGCCTGCTCTTTTTTCTAACATTGATGTTTTTGGACAAAAGGTAACAGAGGTTCATGTTCCTCAGCCGGTGAGATGTTCAACCTGCAGGTCAAACACCAGATGGCATTATATGTTGCACAATTAAGCTTTAAAGATATAATATCACTCAAAAACAACATATTTTAATTTGAAAAGTGAATCAAGGACGTCTGTATGCCTTGAACCTAGAGATTAAACAATAACATGTGCTTTTCCTTCCTTTGGCATTTCTAAACATTGTCTGAGAAAAGTTTTGAAATAAAGAATAAACTAATATACCGGTGATCATTTTCTGTCGTTTAATTGCTGTACTATTTTTTGAAGAAATAAAAAAGTCTGTATCTTGGTAAGTGAGTAAAGTGATGATATGACTATTTAAATAGCTTTTAATAATAATTATATTTTAGAATTTCAGACGAAAGCCTTTAACAGAATTGCTTTTTTGGGAAAAAAGCATTCTGAAAACAGCCAACATGCACCCCTCAACAGGATGTTCATGAACTCTTGTTCCACGGTAACTTTAAAGATCACATTGATAGACACTTTTTCCATTATGCATAGAACACCCCTCTAATGTGATGGAGTCCACTCTTGAGTATTTAAAATGTGTAACATCCTTTCACCTTTTTCCTCACACATCTGCTGTAAATGCTTCCATACAGGCAGGTGCATATAGACCTGCTCCTTCCAATTAACTGACAAAATATTCATTCAACACGTGAACCGAAACAGGTCGATAAATCATTTAGACAGGATAGAGCAAAATGAAGCAACTGTGCCACATGAGGTATTTTGTGAGAAAGTGCAATTAGGAAAACAAAGAAGAAAAAAAAAAACCCATAACAAATTACATTAACATTATAGCAACAAATATCTGTTGTTGACATTTAGAGTGCATTTAATTTGATATGCGAGAGAGGTTAGTGAGCATGAGATAAGACACATAAAAGCACAAAGGCCACTAAAACCTTATAAAGCAGCTAAAAACAAGCTTTGATGGCCTGAACATTGTTAGATAAAGATATTTTTCTTCAACCATCTTCGTTTGTGCAGAAGTGCAGACGCTTCAGCTCTATAAACGGATAGAAAGCAGGTAGTGTGGCAGAGGAGGGACATGACAAGTAAATGCAGATCATCTCAGGCTACATCCCAACAATGTTTACCTACCCCATTGCATTCATTATTTATCAACACATTTAAATTATCCAAAGACAACTAATCATTTTTGCACCTTTAAATGCTTTTGTTTTCTTTTTTCCTCAAAACAGACACAATGCTTGGCAAAAGCTGCAATTGTTGCATGTCTTGGAAATTGGATGTTTTCATCACAGGTGTTGATATAATTCTTCTTTATAATCTAAATCATTCATTTGAAATGCAATTAATTCTTACTTTTGTGGTAAACAATGCAAAAGTAGCAATCTCATTCAAATTATAGTTCTGAATTATTATTTCTATTGGTAAAATGTGGAAGAAATAACCTCCAACAAAGAGAAACAAAAGTTGGGCAGATTTATTCAGGAAAGGTATAAAGGTTTACTAGAACTGCAGGACACATGTTCTGTATACTACTCTGTGTTATACAGAACAAGAACAACTATCTTTCTTTTCTGTTTCACAAACAAAGAATTGAAAAACACTGAACATTAAGGCAAATCTATATCTATTGTTGTGAATTTAGATGAGGATAACAACTAAAAATCTTTTCTTTACTAAATTCGAAAGCCCAACATCAAAAACACCCCCATCACAGTTGAGCATTTAACCCCAGGACTAAACATTTAGATTAAAATTATGGTCTGAGGAGGTCAGCCTTAGAACCTGTAGGATTTGCTGTAATTGACAAAACTGCTTCTAGGCAGAAAATCCTCAAAGAGATTTTCTAACTATTAGTTTGTGACCTCATGCAAAAATAAAATCAGCCAAACCAGGCCGCATTAAAACGATTCAGTAAAACAGTACTGAATCAAATAATTATCCAATTCTGAAGTCTCTTTGCAAAGACAGGGCAGCTCATGTTGCAGCCAAGGATGACGCTACCAATGATCTGGTTTAGGGGGCAGTCGGTTTTTCACATAGGGCCAAGTTGGTTTGGAAGGCCTGTTTTTCTCTGATGACTGAAATCACCATTTCAGAATTGCATTTTGAGCTCATTTTGGATAATTCCTGTGATTATCTGAAGCAAATCAGTGAGAGGAAAAAAGCAAACATTTCTGCTCATCTGTTTTTGACCACAAGAAAGAAAATTAGCTTAAAATTCAAAATAATGTTTTCATTAAAAGAAAAAAATCAATAACTACTTTTTTGTTTGCTTTTGTGCCTGTTTTTTTTATTAGCGGATCCTGAAGACAACATCAAATTACTAAAACTTACATTGACCAGAAATAAGTTATTCTGTAAGCATGATACCACACATTTTACATTGGAAAATTATTTGTAAACAAATAAAAAAAAAAAGCATCAAACACATTCTTTGAATAACTTTGGTTCACTTGGGTGCATGCAAACAACATTGTTTTTAGAGATACTTTAAAGAAAAAAAGAAGCAGAAGCATTATAGTTCTATATCAGTTACAGTTCATTATTTCAATTTAATGCAAAATATGAAATCCTGATATTACAATTCAGATTTTTTTTTCTACTTCTGGACTGGTAACTGTATTTCTTTTTTGGATTGTTTAATTTTTTTTTACTGCAAGTAGATAAAAAAAAAAAGATAAGACACAGCTTGAGTGAGACACTGTAATAGAATGAGCCTGTTCATGAGTTTCACCTTAAAAAGGTTCAGAAAAGGAATAGCCAGTGACATTTTGGAAAGTTTGAATTAGATCCAACCCAAATACTCTGGTTGTAATATTTTTAAAAAGCACATCTAAATTTTTATCACTGATGAGATTATGAAAAATGGTTGTGCATCCACTGTCAGGTACGCAGTTACTACTACCATGGTTGCCGTTCAGGTGGGAAAAAAGAAAAAAAAAAGAATAGATAATCATTTTAAAAATGTCTTAAAAAATGATTTTTTTTTTTCAATTCTCTTTGAATTAATTTTGAATTAATTTATGTTGAAATAAACATAAAAACAGTTTTAGGTGTTTATCTTTTAATTTTGATGATTAGACAATAAATCAATAAAATATTTGAATAATGTTTTGTTTTACTGTAAAATGTATTTTTTAGACCTTTCTAAAGTTCCAGGTCTAGTGTGTTTTTCTAATATGCATTAATCTGTTCTATTAAAGCTCTTAGAGTGAATACAATTTATTTTGCAGGTGTCCCATTCAGATTTTTTTTTCTCAATTATTGATGTGATCAGTCATCCAAGAACAAAAACTTGGAAAATAAGTCCAGTGCATTGTATTTTTTTTTTTCTAGTTTTTTGGAATATTTGCTCAAACATGACTTGCTTTTGTCACTTGTACATGTTTTAATTATTCTTGGCCAGGTTTGGGGTATAAAAGCAACACATCCAGGCACACAGAACCAAGACTCATCCACAGAGTTGCCAAATGTGTTCAGAAAGTCTCCTCAAACCTCTGTTGACAAAGGGAGATTCATTTCTCCTCCTAAAAAGATCAATCTGTGTTGTAACAACCAGCGTCCATCTGCGTCATTATGTGAAATTGAGGATGCCACCATTTTCCTGACCACACCCCTACTGTTAACCGCCATCACTCAACTCCACTGATAAAGGAGTTGGGAGTGGCAGCCTAGTGGTTAGGGCATAGGGCTTTGAATCCTGAGATTGTGATTTCGATACCCCACTCCCACAGACTGCCACTCTGGGTCCCTGAGCAAGACCCTTAACCTCACACTGCTCCCCGGGCGCCTCACAATGGCAGCTCACTGCTCTCCAAGGGGATGGGTTAAATGCAGAGAAGTAATTTCCCTCTGGGATTATTAGAGTATATCCAAAAAAAAAAAAAAAAAAATAGCCCTCTCCCTCAGTGGCTTTTATGCGCTTCCCACACTAGTGACATCTTTCTCAAATTTCTATGGGGGCAGGGTTATACTTTAACTTTGTGTCCCAGCGAGACCAATAAAAATGGCCACATTTGCACACACATAGATATGTGGTTGCTATCATCTAACAAATTATAGCTTTATGACACCATTCAGAAAAAGCCCAGAAAAGTAAAGGACCTCTATCAATTGAAAGGAATGTAATTTGTACATTGTTTTCTTCAAGAAAAATTAATAAAATCTGAAAGAATACAACACAAAAAATAAAGGGGAAACATCTGATTTATATATATATTTTTTGTTTTTATCTAGGATCTGAAAATTAAATTTACCAACCTTGAACATTTTGAAAAGATAAAATCAGAAAAAATGGCGAACTCCAAGAGCTGTTCAAATATAATCAAAGCTTTTCTTTTAAATGAAAAGATCTTAAAAGCTCCTTTCTTAAATTGCATTTTTCTTGTTAGTTATTATTATTTTTTTTTTTGCTTTTTTGGAATCATATAGTCAGTCCCAAACTTATACCTCATATTTAAATGTAAGCAGCTTTGAAGTGCAACAGTAGTTCTCTCTAGAATGAAGCTACCCATTTTAGACAGATGCACTGCTGTTTCACAACTTCTATCTTCAGTTTTGTACATACCTGCTTATACAATTTCTTGATAGTTTATTTAAATTTTTACTTACTTTGTAGTGTTTTCATGAAATAAAGGATAAACAACCATGTACAGGGAGGTGTAATCATGTATAACTCCACATTATACATTATTTTAATTGATGTTGTTTCTGATTCAATTTGCATCAGTTGACCTTTATGGAAAAATATCAAAATAATGTGACCAAAAGTGATGTCCCACTGTTATATATTATATAAAGGTGTCATAAAATCACAGTTACTTTCAGTACATTATAAGCCTAATATTCAAAGAGTTCAAATAAGGAGCACATGAGCTTCAGGTGTATTTAGGCATGTGGTCACCCACTAAGATTGAGAGTGCACTAAAACAAGTCAGAACCAGTTTGGACCACCCTTGTTAAATGCAGAAAGTGTGTGTGCTACTGGCAGCGGTGGAACAGGGTAGTGTTAAGGTGTTTGCAGCCATGAAGTTGGAGTTAACAAAAAACTGTAATGAGAATTAAAAGAATAATGAATAATCTCATAACATAATCTAAACATAAATATCTCAAGAGTTACATACAACAGTCGAAAAATAAAAAAAAACATTTAAACAATAAGAGGTACAGTTAAAATATAACATGTTAATAATAAAACCTGAGAAAGTTGTGTTTATGGGTCCTCCTGCATCCAATCTATACCCAGATAAGCTTTTTTCAACTCTAAACAGCTGTATTTACCTTCAACCACTTTTACAAACCCTTCTTGACCAAAATTTGCTTAAAAGGTACTATAGGCCGATAATAATGAATATATTCATATAGGTATTTAAAAAAAAAAACAATCAAGGAAAAGAGAAAAAAAATAAATAAATTTACGTACAAATTGTTTGCTTCCCTTTGTATTAATCTGTCCCATGAGGATGTTTTTTCCTTACTAATCCTATTCTACTTTTGTTATTTCTTTTTTTATATCTCTCTTCATCATCTGTTATCATACCGCTGCCTTCTTCCTAGGCACAATGACTGCAAACATTTTTGTTTATGGGTTTGCACCTAATTTTTACTAAATAAAAATGCAAACACTGCACCTGCAGTGAGTTTCAGGTGTGAAAAATGTCTGTTGGTTGCAAGGAATAATATTTGAAAATCCTCCTCCTATCAGTCTGCTCATCTTACTTTTCATAAATATGTTCTGTATATTAATAAAGGCAAAAACTATTTTAGGTTAAGAGTATATACAGCCATTTATAGTTTAATCTAACTATAAATATGCCAAACATAGCAAAAGGGTCTGAGCAAGTTCGGCTGACAAAGTAAGCTTTTCAAAGTTTTATGACTATTTAACATTTCAAATGCAATATATATTATTGAAATTTTCCTTTTTTATGAATTGTGTAGCAGTTTGCAATACTATAAGAAAACAATAAGAAAAGTGCATAATATTTGTTATTATCATTGTAACTATTTCTCCATTACTACTGTTTGTTATTACCTCCAAATCAATGTCTTTGAAAGTTGAGTTAAAGTAATCTCTCTTTTACAGTTACCTTGTTTCCCAGAACTGCAAGTAGCACACAAGACTTCCTCTCATAAATCGGGTGACCCTAACCAGTGTTGTACCTGTTATCTTCTGAGCATGCAATTTTTATAGATCAACCACAACATGCCCACTATTCTACAGTCAGTTGGGGTTTCTGTGCACAAGCAGTTTAGCCCTCCTTATTTGTAATCCTTGATAATCAGGTCCTTAGTTTGTAAGAAAAAATCCAGATGCCTTGGATCAACAAAGCATTGCGGACAGCATATATTACAGTTATACAAGTCGTACCCATGAAAACAGAGCATGACCTTAAAAGAGTTGCCTTGTAAATCGCTGGGCTTGATTGGCAGGCAGACACATCATATCAAGCTCTGTGAAAATTCTTTGCAAGCAACATTATCCAGTTAAAGCAGCTTAGAGGAAAGAAAAAGGCCAACCACATGACTCTACTTAATCTTCCATTTTTCTAACCTTTTTATATTCCTTACTAATTGTATACTTTAGATTTCAACAGCTGAATCTGGGTAGCGGGGTGAGTGAACAACAGATGTAGGAAATGCTTTGTTTTATAGATAGATAAACTCTGTATTCCATTTTCTATGTTTTAAAAAATAAAAACAGACGTCCAAAGCTACTTTTTCCATCCACATATGATGCCTGGGACTCAACTATATAAATTCAGTTGTAGTGAAAGCTGCTGGCACAATAATATTAACCTCAAAGACATTCAGAAACATCCTGTGAATATCAAAATCACTGCCGTCTGCCTTTTCTTTTTGTTTGCATTATCCTTTTGCAAAGTAAAACTAAGGCAGTAGTTAAATGAAACAATGTTTGGACAGCATTTAAAAGTATAAGACACTAAAGGCTCTCCAAGACTTCAAAAGATGCAGAATATTCTAAATGAAACAAAGCTCTAATACCAAACTTAACAGATTGATGCGGTAGATGGAATAATGGTGAAGAACAAAGAGAGTCCTACGATGTACAAGAGACATAACATCTCATCTGTTGCAGCTCTCTGTTTAACGGAGCCTCACCAACGGACCACTTGGCTCGTATAATCCTCAGTGGTAGTGGGCAGGTCATTTTCAGTTTGTTTCTCAAAAACTCTCCCTTTGTGTTTAGAAGGCCATGGCCTGCCCTGCTCCCTTTGCTCCCTCAACCAGCGTCTCTCCTCACGCCTCTTCAAGCGCACCTCCTGGTGCTCCCTCTGCCGGGTGTACTGGAACCGCTGAAGGAACAGGTCCTTCGCATACTCGTACAGCTGAACGTCCAAGAAATTGAGCTCCTCGATGCGCCTGCGTACAGCCTCGCTCAGGTCCACGTTGGCCGCCCTTGTGCTATTAATCTGCGTGAAGGCGGAGATGAAGCGCAGGCTGAACGTCCGCTCAAACAGGTACTGCGTCTTGCGCTGGAACTCAGTCAGGCCGTAGAACGCCATGTTCTTCAAGTTGCTCATGGCGCTGCTCAAAAGGATGTGGTTACGCTGGCTCTCATTCATTGAGGAAAGGTTGTAGCAACCCACTAAGCTCAGATCAGCCAGCATGCGCACTTGCCGGTTGTTGGCCAAGTTTGAGGGGCAGTTCATGAAATCTTTCAGGGTGACACCAGACCAGTCGTCGCCACTGTAACAGGTAGGCAGCTCATCCTGGGTCGGTGAGCGTCCATCACACATATGGAGTGCTGTCTTCCATGTGGCTCCTCTCTGGACATGTTTCCACTCGCTCAGGTAGCGGGAGACTGGGTCTCGCAGCATGGTGATATAGTAGAAGTTCCTGCAGTCAAAACAAACACAGTTAGAGGGCTGTGAGCCCATCACCATCAGAGAGTGCTGCCCTGCATTGTGCTGACAGATGGTGAGATTTATCTCTGTATGAAACTTCAAGGTTGAATGGTAATTGGAAGACTCAAAGTCTTACTAATTAGATGATTATAGTTGGTGTCTACATGCTGCCCTTGGAAATTGACCCAAGCATTGAATTTACAAAAAGTGAGTAGAACTGTTTTCATGCCACACATTGCCCACCTGCCAACACAGGAAATAATTGCATATCAAGGCAGAATTGTAATTCACGACCATAGAGTAAAGTGAAAAAAAACGAACCCAACTTCATCCAAAACACTGTTAAAATTTAATGAGGCGTCAGCTTTTGTTTCAAAAATCCATAGCAGGTTTAACTGTGAATCTAACAATCCCACCAACAGTAACCCAGTCACAGTAGAAATGAGATATCTATTTACAATGCTGAATTATTCAATTCAGGTCAATTCAGTTTATTTATATACCGTAGCGCCATTCACAACACATGTCATCTCAAGGCACTTTACAATTCAACCAGATTGTAGAGTCAAATTATAGCTATTTAATTATTTAAATTAGAAAATATATTTTATCTGGATCTTAAGAATTGTAAGCCATCAAGGTTAAAATAAAAAAAAATAAAAAATTTCAAACCTCAGCTTAAAAGTTTCTTTATTATAAATCTTTCTTCGCTTTATAACACAATTTTTATATATATATATATATATATATATATATATATATATATATATATATATATATATATATATATATATATATATATATATATATATATATATATATATATATATATATATATATATATATATATATATATATTTGCCTCTAATGCTAATGCAATGAAAGTAACTGCCCACACTGAACTGTGATTGTAAAATTTGATAGCAAACCACTTTGAAACAGTAGGTTGGAGATTCATGGAGCTACTTGTAAAGAAAAGACAACATTCACCGCTCTAGATTAAATCCTATATCAGAAAACACAAAATATGTTTGATCGGGTAAGTGCGATATATGATTTTTTTATATTTTTTTGGCCTTACAACTTATAAGGGTCGGCTCTCATGTTTGAGGGCAGCTCAGACTGCTGTAAAGTGCTCTTCTAGGGTCACACACAAGTTACATACCTGTAGGGGAGTTTTTGAGAAGGGCAGCATGAACAGGTCATCGATATGCACTAAGTGCTGCATATTAACATAAAAAACAATTTCATAATGTAATACTTTGGTCAAGAAGTCACACAGTGGAGCTTCAATAAGACTTAAAGATAAGAATAGTTAAACCATTTGTATTTAAAACTGATAACAGCTGTAAAATGCTATTGTCTAGCAGTCTGTCTCCTTATGAAAAGGAAAAATGTTTTTTGCTGCTGATTTAAAACTTAGGTGCATCTTGTGTGTGCTTCACTTTTCAGGGTAGGCATAAGGTTTATTTATCATAATTCAAACCATGTAAAAGCTGTTATGGTGCTCTAGGATGACTTCTCATGCAATCAACTTCTCCCAAACAAAAACTCAGAAGTCTCCTGATGGAGCATTCTGACAGAAAACAAAGCCCGGACAGACGATGGCCACATGAAGCTCTCCCAAGATGGTGTCTTACTGTGTGTGTGTGTCATGTGAATATTTAATGATACACATGCCCCTGGAGAGTAGTGCAAGTTGGTAAAATGGAGTGCTGCACTGAGATTTCAGTCTGTCTCTAAATTTGCTCTCAGAGCCCCGTCAGAGTGTTTGACGCAGGGAACATTAGTAGTAGTCGCACCCTGTGGTGAAAATGCTGACTCCTTTGGACCTCAAGCCTGTTTTTGTGTTTTTTTTTAATTATATTTCCCAGTTACTCATTATATACCCCTGTTTAACAGAAGTAAACAATTTTTGCCATTCTCTTTTACTTTCTTAAGCAAATTATTAAAGAAACCAGACATCTTAAATACAAGCCTTGTCAATACAGTATACAACTATTCAGTGCTAGTTCTCTTAAGCAGGACATCTAAAAAAAATCATTGTAGGCTGGCAATAATGATATCAAACACAACCGTCATTCAAAGGTTTTCCCGTATGAAGCAAACATCTCAGCCCTTGTAGGAACAGCAGCATTCTGGCACTTTGCTCCTGGAGTTGGTTTGCTGTGCATGAATCCTTGTTAAGTTGGGATGTAAACACATGTGTTGCCTGAGAGCACTCGGCAGCCCAAAGGTCAGATGGTGAGCACCATCAGTGTCAAAATACATCAGGATCAGCAGTTCTGCAATGCTGCCTTGTGGAATAGCTCCCTCGAAAGACTGAGATAGCTTTTGAAGGGGCAGAGAGTGAGATTGGATCTTCTTTTTTCTGGCTTTTTGTTAAAATCAGCATCATCCCTATAGTCATATCCCAATGCCCACCAAACATACAGCAAAAAATTACCATAATTATCTGCTTTTTAATATGGTAAAAGCACAGCTTGTTTAGTTTGGTAAGGATGTACCAAAGCCGTATTCCTTCTTCGACTTTGAGCAAACCTGTTCTTTTGGTGCTGGAGTCTAGAACTAACGATGAACTCTTCTTAATCATAGATCAATAATGGATAGCAGAGGTATTGCTGCTTATTCTGCCCCAGAACACTCATGTCTAAGTAGAAACACCAATGACGTTACTTCACTGGAGCACAACTAAACAGGGGCCATTAAGCAGTGATGGAAGATGAATTTAACAGTATGGATAAAAATGGAAACTAAAGCAAGGCTGGGGAAGGGCAACGGAAAGGGAAGATGGCTAAATGTGCTTCTTAGGAATGTTTGTCAGAAATGGGAAAGGTTTCATATTCATTTGAAATAAGAGCAGATTCTTAGGTGGGGGGTTTGTTCTGCAGATGTTTTTCACTCGCCAGAATAGCCTGCTTTAAATGTGTAGCATAGATATAAAGAGAAAATATTGCACAAATAATAGATTTGAACATGTCTGGTGCAGATACAATGGAAAAGAATGTCCAATTGAGCAGTTTTGTGTTTTTTAAACCTGAGTTTGAATTCTTTTTTACACATTCACTTTTTAACTACATGTAACCATAAGTAACATAAAAGGGATATAATTAGGAATGAACTCAAAGTCTAAGCTACAGCATAGAGCCATACTGTACATCTAATCCCCCTCTTTAAATGTAACTGACTTACCTTGTTTAGAAAAAAGGACATTATCTATACTGTATCCCCATAAGTTCATGACTGATATAACCTCAGAAAAGAACACAGCACATCCTAAAAAAACACACACAATGATGAACCACAAAGTTTTATTATCAGCAAAACTTGCTGGAAAAAGACAACTGGCTTCTAATTACCTGTAATTAGCCCCAGTGACACCAGTTCAGCCCACTGCTTCTCTGTGATTACAGGCTATTAAAAGCAAAGCATAGGCTTACTTTTCAGTTTCTGGGGTTTTAAAGTCACTTGAACTGAATTTTAGACACCCGTGGTGGGTGTTATTTGGCTGCAGGGGCTGAGAAAGCAATAAAAAAAAAAACAACTAGGTATAAACTGGGCAAAACGTCTCTTGTGAAGGCTACAACATGGAGAATTAGAGTAAAGAGAAACCAGGTTCCAATGAATGAATAATAAATGATATTGAAATAAGGAGAGATTCACTCAGAGATGACCACGGCTCAGGTTTCAGGTAACTGTTTGAAATAAATGCAACCTGTTAATTTAGCCCCGTGATGGTAGTAGTTTGCCAGTTTTCATCTCCTTTTCTATGAACATTGCATTAAAGAGCAAAAATTAGAATAAAAACGTTTTTTCAATCTCCTTAGACAAGGTCTTCCCATCTGTATAATATTATTACAATGAGTTTTTTTTATTCAACAATATACACAAAAAATATGTTCAAATAAATGTGTTAAAAATTAAATTAATTAGTTTGCACAGTCCTTATTAATTTTATTTTATGTTTTTCGATTAACAGGACAGGGCAGCCGAATACATGTCAATTTAAAACAGATAGAAAGCAGACATAGATGCATTAAGGACATGAAAAGGTTAATTACAGTATGAGCTTAGCAGTAAAAACAATACACACATTTTAAAAAAAGCTTTAACAATAGAAATTGAATATAATGCAAAATGTGTAATTCTGATAAAATCAAAATAAATAAATATATTTTTAAAATGTTCAGTTAAGTGTGATTAACATTGAAAGGTAATTATACCACCGGGTCATTGGGGCATAAGACTCCCCATTAAACGTTTGTAATCACATTTATTGAACACTAGGTGGTGCTTATTTATTACAAACTCCAACTGGCTTTCTGAATTTTATATATGAGTGTTTTAATATATGTGGTACAGCTTGAAAAAGTAAAATCAACACTTGAAGAAAACTAATTCCCTGAGATGCAATTAGTGTGTAAGAATAACATTTGCAATTTTATTGTTAAGCTATCATCAGCCTTCCCAACATCAATATCAACCCAATGATTAGACAAGCATTGATGGATCTGTGCTGTTTAACATATTAGCAACTATCTCTTTGCTGTTTAAATGCTGTAATCTATTTAAAATGTGAAAAACTGTTTGATGCATTTTGTTGTTGTGAATGGGCTGATCAATGAGGAGTACTCCCCTTTAACTATTTACACTACAATTTCCTGCCTATATGTTGGCATTTTGGCCATCATTCTTTCATTTTGTACCAATTAAGGAATAATTTCAAAACAAATACTAAATCAATGCATTTTGGTTCACTTTTTTTAGATCATCAATTTGTTATTAATTAGAGATAAAAACACAATAATAATTTCTTAATTATCATATCTATTAAGCTGTGGTCTTTGGTTTTCTTAAGCCATGATCCTTTTGTTCTTCCTGTTGTTCAATAGGAACCGCATTTAGTTACAGAATTTATTTATCTATCTATTTCTTTTGTTTTAATTTCCTTAAACAATTGAAATGACCAAAACTAGATCATTGAAATAAATG